TGGTACAGTTTATGCCGGCTGAAACGCCCCGACTGAATGCACCCTTAGTCTAGTGGTATTTAGCCCCATCTCAGGGCCCTGACCTGGGTGGCCGAGGCTAGCCCGGTTTCATCAGATCTTGGCAGCTAAGCCGGGTCAGCCCTAGTCAGGACTCGGATGGGAGACCACCAAGGAAATCCAGGACAACTACACAGAGGCAGGCCATGGCAAACTACTTCCATTCACCTCTTGCCTTGAAAATCTTATGGGGTCAACATGTTAGCTACGAGTCGACCTGACAGCACTTTCCGGCAAAGGTCCCAAGGGTTGAACTGGGGGTATTCTACATCCAAAGCAGGGGCTATACTGAATAAGAAAAAGAATAAGATTTATACCCCACCCTTCACTCGGAGTCTCAGAGCAGCTTACAATCTCCTTCCCCTTCCCCACAACTGTGAGGTAGGTGGGGCTGAGAGAGCTCTGAGAGCCAGTTTGGTGTAGTAGTGGTTAAGTGCGTGGGCTCTAATCTGGGAGAACCAGGTTTGATTCCCCACTCCTCCACTAGCAGCTGCTGGGTGACCTTAGGCAAGCCATAGTTCTGCCAGAGCTGTCCTTGAAAGAGCAATTCTTGAAATTACTTGAAAGGGAGGGGGTGATTTTTGCTAATTCCTCACTTCCGCGGCAGACTTCCGGCATCCTCTCGTGCTGTTTCGGGGTGTCTTTTCTCCAGCAGAAGTATTGGGGGGCGGTGCGGTTATTTTGGGCCGCAGCAAGAGCCAAAAAGTAAAGACAGTCACAATCTGCTGATGGAAATCCCTTCTGTGAGCGGAAGTGACTGCTGGATCCAACCCACTGGCCCTTTCAGGCTGCCTAGCCATCTTGAGAGAGGTGAGATTCAGACCGGTTTACAACTTTGGAGCTATGTTCTGGTCTTGCATGTAGCAGAAGGACATAGGATGGACTGCACCACTTCACACCAGGGAATCACCTTTGTGCATTACTCCTCTGTGTTGAAAGCTGCATGCAGTAGTTTGTTTGTTTTTTGGATTGCCGGGGAAAGAGGTGAGCTAGAAGCAGGCTCAGTTATGTGCTTGTTTGTTTTCTGTTTGCTGGGATTACCTTTTTAAAACACGGGGAAACGTTCAGAATCAGTATTCCCCTACGTGTACTCTAAAGTGGTACTCCATTCTGCCCAGCTGTTGTGTATGAACTCGGCCCATTGGTCTGTCCTTGCTCAGCAATGCCTCCTCCCACTGGCAGAGGCCCTCCAGGGACTTGCACAGAGAATGGCCTTTGCCAGCACCTCCTGCCAGAGACCCAGGGGTCATTTCCTGCAGGAGCGCACAGGAGCGGAGCTCTGGCAGTAAAGAGCCCAGGGAGCGGGCACATGCAACAAGCCCCACCCCCTGCTCCCAGCAGCCCTCAGTCAGAGCAAGAAGCTGCCAGGTAAGTTGCAGAGCCCCCCCCCCAGCACCCCGGCCCAAAACA